GAACTGTCGCTCTTCTCGTTGCGTCATACCTCAACCCGCCTCAAAGCCAACGCTGATTGGACGTTCGTTTGGCGAACGGCTCCAAATTTTCTTTAACGGAGAGTCTCCAGACTGATCTGCGAGTGAAACCTTGAAAGCTCGCGAGATCAGGATGGTCTCACGAGGCTAGAGGTTTTGAGGACCCAAATGCAGAGATAGGGAGGCAGAGGGGAGTTCTTGCCGTTTTAATGTAGTGATCACAGGTAACATAGGCAGAAATTCAAGAATCCACCTTAAAATGTTAAACAACCAGAACCATGGAGACATGGAACCAGCACTGAGGAACTGCACAGGGGAGAATATATATGGGGGACTGAACAAAGAGTGGACTAACAAGCTGATTGGGAGCAGGTGTGAAGAGAGGAGTCTAGAAAGGAGCTAGGGAAAAGGAGGGTAACAGAGGGCAACAAATAAAAACCTAAAAACTCAAATATATACAGAAAACACAACAAAATAGGAATTAAACCAATAAAACTAGAAAACATGGAGCAAAGTAAAACTGAAACCTAATTAAAAACACTTAACAGAACTTTTTTTAAGGCTTTTATTAGCTGTGTTATTCTTGTATCGGCTGAAACGAACATTTATTCCAGCATTGCGTCTCTCTCCATCTGTTATCCATTGGTGATACGAATGTTTGCTTTGTTAAATGTTTCTTTGTTGTTTTAAGTGCTCGGTCACCTTATTTATCTATTTATCGTTTGTTATTTTGTTGGACTTTTTGATTCCTGCCTCAGTTTCTGTGAACCTAATTAAACCCACTTAAATTCACCGCTGCCTACTTGTTTCTGCATTTGGGTCCTCCAAGCCAACACCGTTTTCTGACAATAATAACTCCAACAATCTTCATATCCTGCAGCGTATCGATGCTCCTCTGTGACCTCAGAGGGTCGACCCGTCTCTGATTGGGTCATGTGAGCTTTTTTTTTTTAACCAGTTCACTGCAGCTCTTCCAGCAGTCCACACTTTCTATGCTCTCTTTTTTCTTAACTTCTTAACTTCCTGTCTCTCTCTGCAGAAACATCTCCACTAACTCCTCCTGACTCCTGCCTCTTCCTCTCGCTGCTCGCTCCATCAAACAATGTTTCATCTTCTTCTTCTGCTTCAAGCACAACGATGCAGCAGAAGAAGCCACAGAAACATCTCACGCCGCTTTCTTTGAACCCAGAGCCATCTGAGATGGAGCCAAACGTGAGGATGAAGAGGAAGATCAGAAGACACTGATTTCAGAGCCAATAAAACATTTACCAATGCAGCCGCAGAGAAAACATCCTCCATAATGAAACCTCCATTACACTTTGATTACCTACAGCATCCCTCAGATGTGAACAAGCTTTTAGTGGCTCGGCAGGAAGTCTCTGAATCCCACGGAGACGCCGCCGCTCTGCTGCAGTGAGGCCACAGCAAACGGCTCTTCCTCAACTCAGGAGGCTTTAGTTGCATCAGAGAACAGGAGTAACCTGCTCTGTGGGACCACGTCACTCCGGAAGTCATCCTAGATGTTCGATTAGAGAGTTAACGTCCCGCTAGAGACAAAACCAACATTTTAATCAGGGGCAGATTTAGGAAATGTGGGGCCCTGGGCAAAGACAGGCAGGAGGCCCCTCTGAATGGAGAAGACATAAAACAGCCCCATTCTCCAGATAGAGAAATGTTAATAGAAT